TTGGACTAAATCATTTAATTTTCAGTCTTAAAATCCTACAGAAATTAATGGTGGCCTGGGGAGCTGGGGAAACCATGATTTAACACCAAACTCTCCCTTTTAATCAACAAGGAAATGTATAGTGGTCAGAGGGGAGAGTTGCAAGTTGGATCTTGGGAGTGGAAGGGATACTTGAACACTGATTACTGTCTTAGACACAATTTTGAATGCTATGATTTACAGATGGCACTGTTACTTCTTGCTATTCAGTGTTGATTATTTACTTAACATATCAGCCCGTCTTTATCTTTTACTATTCAAAATGAGGGCACCCCCTTCTTTGGTGTAACAATAGAAGCAGCTGTGGCAGAAAAAGAAACATTATCTAGCTGCTGCATGGCAATGTAGATAAATCTACCTAAGCTCTCATGAAATAACCTGTAAATAGAATTTTTAAGTTCATAAAATGTTGGGAAAGAGAGGAAAGTCACAATTACAAGGAAATCATGCATTCTCTGCCAACTCATGGTAGCAAATGAGTTTTGTCATCACCTGGAGACAAGAAGCTCAAGCACATGCTTAGAATGCATTTTACAAAGTGTGACATTCTACCTACAAATACTTTACAAAAATCGGTAAATGCCTGGTTATAAAATATAATTCACAACAGCACTGATATCTTGCGTGGTGTAATTTAGGAACAAATCATTTTACGGTGTGACAGGCTATGATTGCAACTAAGATTCAGAGCTTTGTATATAACAGTATGTACACGGAAACAACTTGTAGATATGTTATCTACTAAAATGGCTTTAATTCTAATTTAAAGATGTTAACCCTTGGCAGCCGGCAGAAAACCTTCTAGTTTGGCCATACAAAACTTAAGCTCGTATTGTTTGTCGTTATATGAATTATCCCTTACAATATTTGTGGATTTGAGACACCGTGGGTTCAGACTTTGGGGTCACGTGACCTAGATCATCCGCTCGTGTTGACAGCTGAATAATGAAATGATACATCAGCGGGTGTACGGTCAACGACGCGGGCTCAAGTGTCCTTGGTCTAAAATTTAGCGAAATTAGCGGAAAATAATAAGGGCTGACCTTTAAAAGCGAGGAACTCTGTTTTCGTCGAAGGCACTTTCCTTTTTGCAAAGGTTTAAAGGAGAAAATTAATTTTTGAAAAATTTTAGGGAGTGTACCAAATTTTCGGAGGTTGTTCTGTAAAAAAAGAAGCGGCAAGGAAAACGACGCCTCGAAGCAACAGAATAGGAAATCAACCATGCGAACGACTCAAAATCCGTGTTTCCGCGGGAAAACCTAGCGTATGCGTTATTCAGCTCTGTCACTCGTGTTTGGATGCGTTCAAAGTGCTTTCATGCAAGCTTGGCGAGTTCACAAGTGAATTCGTGTCTCTGGCCCATCTGTGGATTGCTAACAGGACCTACCAAGGCTTTTTGGGCCAGTTTTGAGTGGCAAAAGCCTCGAGCGATGTGATATTTTGCTGGTAGGACTGGGTGGCCCGACAAGATTCTAATAATTNTTCGCTGCAATGGAAATCGGGAATCATTGTGGGTGTTTTAGGCTGCAATAGGTGTCACACCAAACAGCCTTGCAATGTACACACTTACATAATGTTGTCTCTTAATTTCAACAAGAAACAAATAACAACAGTAATAGTAATTTCTAACATGTATGTGTGGCTTGCTGGAAAAGGGTTAAAACTAGTTTTCTAATAAGGCAAAGAAAGCATGGAATTTAAAACATTATTGTACTTTCTACAATTTTAAGTTAACTTATCTATTAAACTAAATACGTACAAATACATATTCTATCCACAGTCATCAATAAAATCAATGTATAAATAAATCATTAAATCATAGGATATTTCCTTTTTGGGCTATATAGTAACCTTCATTCAAAACATAATTCACATCTTAGAAACAAGTTGAAAGATTTGCAAGAGTGCAGTGCTGCCAGATCAGGCGTTGTTTACAGATAGTTTGAAAACAGAACAAAACTTAAAAACATGGCCAAAAGTAAAAAAAAAAAAAAAAGGGAGTTCATTTTCTACATCATTCCTCTACAATAGCTAGCTTTTAAAGCCTATATTTTCTCAGAATATGGTAGCTATTTATTATTCCTGCCATGTCTTCTTAAATCAGTCCGGTTTCCAGAAGTGAAGGGTTCCGCTTTATTGAGGTTAATAGTCGAGAAAATGTATGACAGAAATTTTGGGGCAGAAAAAAAGGTCCGGTATAGAGAGGATTCTGGTTTAATGAGGCCGGTTTAGAGGGGTTCCACTGTATTTGTAAGTTGCCCAATATTGAACACAACCTGATGTTTTCATTACACTCTGAATGAACCGACAAAGACGTGATTTATAATGACGTGGAGACCACTTTCGATTTTCCGTACACCATCATGACTGGGGGAAGGTTATCTGTAGCAAAATAAGTTTAAAACAGTAATTCAAGCACTAATTGTAACCGTGTAATGAGCATAACTGGTAAAAAAAAATAATAATTCATCCAAAAAATCGAGGCAGGTAGACTACAGCAACAGACACATGTACACCTCAGAGACCTATTTATAAGAAAATGACCAGCTAATCACGTGAAATCTTTATGAATGCAAGGAAAGGGCAAAGAAAGAGACGGTATGTTAATGCACATCAGAGTGTCTACAAGTGATCTCTTTGCAGCGTTTATTTCTTGCTCTGCACCTTTAAACGAAATCATAACCGTAATTAGATTTGTTACCTGAGAGCACAGTTATGTCTTGAATAAATTGCTGAGCCATGTTTTCCTCGTTTGGAGGAGGGGGAAGACCAGTAAATACAACAACTAAAAGCAAAGCGACATCAATAAAATTCATCATGATCTACAACCTTCGACTGCGTCAAAACTATGTGCACACAAAAACATTCACTGGATGTAACGGGAATTATATGCGAAGTCTCTAACTGAAGTCTTCCGCATCCTTACAATGGCTCTTTGCATATATTTCATTATACATACATTTAACCTTCAAATTTTCATTAAGCTTAAATAACATTGCCTTCCTTACGTCACATATGACACCTCTGTCTTAAACTTACATGCTTCTGTTGAGTGAATTTTGATGAGCTGATTCACTGTTCGGTACCAGTTGGTGGAGGGCTGTATTGGGAAAAATGGCAAGAGTCAACTGACATGACAAAGTCACCTACTATCAGGTTTTGTTATATTTCGACTTTCCCCAAAAATTAAAATTGTAGGGAGAACAGTAATGAAGGGCACATCAATGAATTTATAGGAAGGAAATACTGATGCTTCAGATGAGCACTCACCGCCATTCCATCGGCATTTCTTGTCTGAGAAAGAGATTCTTGTGTGCTGTGAATCATCTAGAGTATAAGATACAGGGAAGTATGTGTCTTCAAATTGAAGATAACAAGTTTATGAATGAAAATACCCAATGGATGAGGAATCATGCTATCATAATGACTTCTGAGGGATGCGGCAGCCATTTAGTTTAACCATCTTTTTGACCCCTATGCACTTTGGTATCCATTTTAAAATCATGGCTTTTGCAGGAGAAAAGATCTGTAATAAATTTAGAATAATTTTATTGGTGCCCAAGGGAAAACATTGAAGTGAGCTCAACCGAACGGCAACACAATACAATTACTAGGAGCTGCAAATAGACGACAAAAAACGAGAACAGAGGTTTGTACAGTACCCGAACTTCTGCAGGAATTCTGAGTTCTTTGAGAAGATTTGTTAGAGTTCTATATTGTGCTTGGTGGTTATCTTCATCATCTAAACAAAAATAAAAATAAATAGATTTTAACATATTCCCACATGGATTTCACTACGCCTCAACAAACGCTAACTCTGGATCTGGTGAAAATCTAGGTTTTTCCGTTCATTTAATTTGGTTCACTGGAGTGAGCAGATGGGTGCCATCATGCTTTCCCCAAAAGTGATAGAAGAGTTTTGAGGGGTATTAGGAAAAACACTGCAAGTAATGATTCCAATGAATTGCTTTTCGATCGAAAATCATGAGGCCAAAACAAAAGTAATCCCTACGGCCAATCAGAGCAAAGTAAAATTTTACAAGGAATCGATAAGAAATAAAAGTGAACAAAATGCAAACTACCTAAAGCGCTGGAAAACGCGTTTGAATGAGTCGTGATTGGTTTACATTTTGTATCTGATTGGTTGACGTAAAACAAAACCTAAGCTTATTCGTGGACGATCCTCCCAGTAAAGAGCACTATTTAAGCAATAGTGAAAATAAAGCTGCCCCGTATTATTTTAGACTCTCAATCAATAAATTTCTCTTAGAGGTACTTGTATTTATTCCAAACATCCTGTCGAGACCAAAAAACATGTTTTCATAGGCCATTTACCTCCAGTCTCCACGATCTGCATGACTCTAAGTTTAGATCGATTTTCCCAGAATGGCACCATATGTAGAACACAACTCAACTGAAGCGTAAGGAGGAACGTGAAATCATAAGGACCAAGTACCAAACCTGCTTAAAGACACACACAAAAAAACAAATGCTTGGTTATGTTAACTCTCTAACGCGCTAAGGTGCAGGATACATGCAAGGGAATGGCTGCAGTGTTCCGTGATTTTTGTAGAAGAAAGGAGGACGGGAGAGGTCAGTTGCAGAGGAGAAGACAGCATCACTTTTTCCTAATACACAAATACGAATTGATGTAGAAAAGGTTTAAATAACAAAGGATCTAGACAAAGGGGATCTTTATGAACCTTGCATGTTTTTAAAGCACTTGTAAAAACATTGCTATTCCGCTATTGTACATTACGTTTCTTCTCTCTGGGATTTTATTACAGGTTAATGCATTTTATTAAAAACTAGATCATTGGATA